CTTTCGGAGATGGGGGTTGTCGTGGAGATGGGAGCAGGGGTTCTTTTAGATCAAGTTTTTGCATGTCAAATTAGCTTCTTCGACTTTATGTCTTAACTGTCTTGGTTAACCTACAGTTCTTTCTAGTTCCATCGCGTAACGATCTGGTTTCAAATTCAGTATGTTTTGGTTACATTGAATTCGCTTTTTATCTCTACTAAAAGTTCATGACTTCATGTCTAGATCTTGGCCATTTGAAAGATTGATAAATAATTCTTACCCTTTTTCCAATTTTATTTCCTCGTTTCTAATTGCAATAGGCACTTGCATTTATCTCTCTCAACCCACAAAGAGGCGCAAGAAAACAAAAAAAAACTCGTGAATTTTCTCTCATTTTCACGCGCTTTACCTCGTTTTCTCAAGAAATCTCATTTCCCTTGAATTTTACTTCAATTTTGTCGGATTGCTTTCCCAAATTTATTAGCTTTTCTTTTCCACTGGAAAAAGATAAAAAGTTTAATGAAAGGAAAGCAAAAAGACTCATCGGAGAAACACAAATGGGATCGGAGCTCCTCTGGTGTATCCATGATCCGAGTCCGACCCGCTCGAAAACTAATAATCTGGCTCCTTCTCCTCCTCTCCGTCACTTACATCATCTACACTCTCAAAATCGTCTCCACTTCCCACCCTTCTTGCCCACAAGATCCAACAATCCCTAAACACACAACAACGCAGAAAAACGCGGTTGCGTTTGCGTTCGCGGCGGAGACCGATCTAAACCACGTGTTGTTCGGGATCGCAGCGTCGTCTAAGCTATGGAAACAGAGAAAAGAGTATATCAAGATTTGGTACAAACCTAAGAAGATGAGAGGCTACGTGTGGTTAGACAAAGAGATCAAAACCAAATCCGAAACCGGAGATCAAGAAAACTTCCCGCCGATGAGAATCTCCGGCGACACATCGTCATTTCCTTACACGAACAAGCAAGGACACAGGTCAGCGATTCGGATCTCACGGATCGTGTCGGAAACGCTGAATAGTCTTGATTCCGAATCGAAGAAGAGTGTGAGGTGGTTTGTGATGGGTGATGACGATACCGTGTTTGTAACAGATAATCTAATTAGAGTTCTGAGGAAGTACGACCATGAACAGATGTATTACATTGGGAGTTTGTCGGAATCTCATTTACAGAATATTTACTTCTCTTATGGTATGGCTTATGGTGGAGGAGGTTTTGCTATTAGTTATCCATTAGCTTTGGCTTTGAGTAAGATGCAAGATCGTTGTATTCGGAGGTATCCGGCGTTGTACGGTTCCGATGATCGGATGCAAGCTTGTATGGCAGAGCTTGGAGTTCCATTAACTAAGGAGCTTGGTTTTCATCAAGTAAGAATTTTTTTATTGATTTTGTTGATTTTGAGAAATGGGTATTGCTTAGATTGGTTTGATTCCAAGTGGGTTTGTCTTAGAATGATTTGAAAACTAGTGAAATTGGCAAAATTGATGATCTTGAAGTTAAACTGAAATTAAATGTCTTTTTTTGGCTTGGTTAAAGTAGGCTACTTTGATCATTTTTGTGTAAATTTTGGCTTTGGCTTTCATGGTTTACTGATTTTGGGTTCATTTGTGGTAATGGGTAGTTCAAGAGTTTTGGTTTAATATATATATTAATTGAAAGACTAGGGATTTGTTATGCTGATTCTAAAGCTTTTAGAAAGTCTTCGAGAGGTAAGAGTTTAACAGGTAAAGTCTTCGTTGGATATATAAATTTCTTCTCAAATTGAGATTGTTTGATGATTTCAAATTTGTTATTTTTATATTCAAGTTTAGCAAGTTTTTGGTAGGTGTGTGAATTTTAATGCATTCAAGTTATTTTAACTTTATAGTTGTTGACTTGAATTAGGTAATTTGGAGATCCGAG